CCTCGGGCGGGGAGCCTGCAAACAGCTGCTGCTTCCCTGCCCCCGGCTGTCTCCTGGACCCAGGTTCCGGGAAGGCAGTAGGTGTCAGCACTGCGCTCATCGGGGCCAGGGCCGGGGCTGTTTGCAGCCTCCTGGCTGCAGCCGGCCCAGGCTCTGGGATAGCTGCTGTCAGTCACGGTGCCCAGGCTGCTTGCAGCTGGGCTTGCAGCCTCCCAGCCACTTGCTGGGAGCAGCCCGGGCTCCGTGGCTGGCAGCAGCAGCCTAGAGCCCAGGCTGGTGGTGGCACACTGAGCAAAATGGTCTCACATGCCATGCTCAGCATACGTGCCAGGGGTTGCCGGCCCCTGGTGTAGATGGTGACTGGGGCTGGCTGGGGCACAAGGTTGCTACATGTAGCGGCTGCCTGCTGGCTATTCCCACACTGTAGCACCCTTGTGCCCCAGCCAGACCCTCCACCACCTGACATTGGCACCCGGAGCCCGGGGCTGGCCCCCGGGTACCCTGCCAACCTGGGGCTGCTCTGCCCTGGCTCAAACTGCTGCAGTCCTGGGCACATGTATAACCGCTGCACCTGGGAGCCATTAACTCTGGCACAAACTGTGTCAGAGTTGATTTCTGCGTGCTAACTGCACATGTAGATGTACACTCTGTGTTTCAAAAAAGTATTTAAATGAATCTTAGTGTGATCCAGTGTGCTCCATTTAAATTCAGGGCCTTGGGCTATGCACTTACCAGAGTATATTCTTATACAAACTTGATGTAAACAACCAATAGTCCTGAAATGCCCAGCTAGTCAGTGTTGTGGTAATAGCAGCCCTGAAGCTGAATAGCATTCCACATTTTCAAGGCTTCTATTAGAAGACACCTCCCATCCAAAAGTGACCTTGAAGCCTTGAGAATCATAGAACTGGAGGGACCTTAAGGATCATCTGATCCCTGCACAAATGCAGAGATCCACTCCTAAATATTCTATGTCCAGCACTCATCCAGCCTTCTCTTGAAAACCTCCCGTTAAAGAGAGTCCACAGCTTCCCTGTGCAGTTTGTTCCAATGTCTCACTGTTCTAGCAGTAAGGAAGTTTTCCCTAATACCAAATCTAAATCTATTTTGCTGCAATTTAAACTTGTTGCTTTGTGTCCGACCTTCTGTGACAGCTTTTCTCCCTTTTCTTTATGGCAGTTTTTCAAATATTTAAAGCCTGCTATCATGTACCTTATAATGGTCTTTCCTTCAAACTGAACACACTTAGTTTCCTCAACCCAGAGGCATAACAGGGTATGTGCTCTTAGTAGTGGGGCCACATGGTGCAGGGCTGTTAACAGTGGTGGCGCAGCTGAAGCAGCTGCTATTCTTACTCCTTTCCCTCCACCCTGGGCTGCTGTCCCAGTCACCTCCCTTTTAGTTACACCACTGTCTCAACTTTTCTCTGTACAACTTGCCTTCCAACCCTTTTAGCACTGTTGTTGCCTGCTTCCAGGCCCTCTGACTTTTCCACATCCTTCTTAAAATGTGGAGCTCAGAACTGCACACACTACTCTATATAAGGCCTAACCAGTGCCAAGTAGAATAGCACTGTCAGCTCCTGTGTCTTGCATTTAATACTCCCATTAATGCAATGCAACATCTTGTTTTTTTGTGACTGTATCACATAGCTGGCTCATGTTGAGTCTGTGATCCACCAAAACCCCAAGATCCTTTTCAGCCATGCTACCACCCAGTTATCCCCCATTCTGTATTTAAACTTCTAATTATTCTTCCCTGCCCTGTGCGCTGGATCTGGCATTCAGGGAGGGTCCGTGGACCCAATCTAGCCCATGGGGCAGGCCCCGTGCCCTTCATCAGGCCTGCTGGGCTAGATGATTTTGAGACCCCTGAGTTAAAGGGAGGATGTGACTTCCAAAGTAGGTAGCTCCTGTGCAGTGCACAGTGAATGGGAGAACAATCAAGTTACAAACTAGACCACAAAGTTGAGACATGCTGATGCGTCATGGTTTGTGCATTCAGCTGCTATGCCTGTAAAGAGGTTGGTCACCTACGATGAAGTGAACTTGAGTTCATGAAAGCTCATGCTCTCTCTCTCTCCATATTACTTACTTAGTCTATAAAGATGCACATCTACTCTGCCTTTACACTACAAAATGCAGGCAGCAGCTTGGGACCTCATGCTATTTGCTTGCACAGTCAACGTGTGAGGAACATACAACATGTGGGCTGTACACCTTGGGCTAACCACACAGGGATTCGGGCATGGTGCTGTGGGCCTGTGCCTACTCCCATGCTGCGATGTAGGGAGACTGCATCACTGCGGGACAGTGCTGAAGAAGTGTGGGAGTGGGGCTCAGATGCAAGGCCCAGCTGGGACATGTGATGTGTTCAGGCTGGGTCAAGGGACCTGTTAAGCACCTCAGGGGCTAACAACAGATGACTGGTTTAAGTGTCTTGTCTGGCAGCAAACACCCCAGCCCTGACAGAGGGCCAAGACTGTCCTCCCAAATGAAACACTCTTCAGAAGAACACCGTGCCTTCTAACAATCGTGGCTAATTGGGAACTAATTGCCATTGAAGCCAGGTGTGTAAATGATGTCCCTGCCTGTTTCCATGTCATATCTCCAGCTAATCAGCCCCACACTAAACCCTACAGGGCACATGGGGCTTGGGGGGGTGGGGTACAGCAATGTCTCCCCCTTGATTCCTGCTCTACCCAAACTTTAAAACCAGCTGCCTGGGAGGGGCAGCGACACTATTCAGGCAGTATTGAGTCAACTGAGTTTATGGCTCTTTATCATCTCCCTCTCACTTTCATATGCCATCAGATACCGACTTCCAAATCTTTGAGCAACCGTCTAGTATTACTGTTCAATGAACCGATTCCATCTGCCCCATCTGGGCATTTGTAGGGATGGCAGCCTTCAATCATCTCCCTCTTTCCTGCTTATTATAATAGCTCGTTGTAGCACATCCCATTCCTACTCATCTTTCTCTGCTCCACAGGTGCTAAGGCCCCTCTCTCCCTTGCAACGCTCTCTCCATGCCACTCTCCCAACCACCCTTTCTCTTGCCGGTTAGCCCTCTGTCAGCCCTTCCTGGCAACCACCTCTTGTGTCCCAGCCCTGCCGACTCTTTTCCAGCTCCAGCTAGAAAACCATAACTGAGGTATAGATGCAACTGGGGTTTGAATTACAATTTGACTCTTTGGGGGGGTTCTGCAAAAAAAAAAAAAAAAAAATTAATTAATTTGGTTCATTGATTAACGAGTCCACCTACGTAAAGGAGCGATCTGGAGGCTCCCCCCAGGTTATGACTTTCAAATCTTTCGGGGGGCTCTCATCTCTTATGTGGGGGCTCAGCTCCCCCAAGCTGCCCGGTAATTCGCACCCCAGGCGAGACTGACAGCAAAGTATTGGAGGCCAAGGGGCCGAAGAAGGCCAGGTCATGTTTATGACGCTCAATAAGAGACAGATGTTGAACGCTGTGGACAAGACGCTGGCATTTGACTATATTATTTGTGGGGGGGGTTCTGTTTTTTAAACTTCATCTGAAGAGCACACAAAGACTTCCTCGCCTGACAAGCGGTTTTTAAACCCGAAAGCTTGCTAAAACATTTTTTCCCACTATTTATTTATTGGTCTAATAAAAGATATCCGATTCACCCAAAGAACCTTGTCTATCAAATCAAGTAGCACACCCCAAGCCAAGGGCTCGGTGTGGTTTGGCTTTGATCCGCAGGTAAATAACAGTGCGTTGCAGCTCCTGACCTGTCATCAACTTCTCTTTCACTACCAGCACCTCAGGGTCAGGGTCAGGGTCAAACCCGAGCCTCCGCGCCCCTTCGTCCTCCCTCGAGATGGGCTTCGACCGCCTCCGCGCATGCGCAAAGGCCTCTTCTGCCCTCGGTAAAAATAGCCACTGTGGCAACGAGCTGGGATCATGTGACCGGCGCAGACAGGCAGCCGCTTCAAGTCTGGAAACGGCAGCAGAAGTGACGTCTGAAGCAGGCGCCGGCGGTGGGGCGGCGCCGGCTTGGGTGGTATGGCGATGAATATCCGCTTGCAGGAGATCCGGGAGCGGCAGAAGTTGCGGCGGCAGCTCCTGGCCCAGCAGGTAACTCCCAGCGGGACCGGGCCGGGCCGGGGACGGGACAAAACCCTTCTCCCCCGCCAGCGCCCAACGCTCCAGCCTGCCCCGGAGAAGGAGAGCGAGGCTACGGCCGGGCCGCGCTGGGATCGGTCCCACGTTCCGCGCGAGGGGAGGGGGCGGGGTCGGGGTCCCCCGGGCAGACGTTACAGGTCTCCCCCTGCCTGTCCCCTGAGCCAGGCGTGCGCTGACAGACATGACGGGGAGCCCGTTCCTAAACCACCACTGAACCCAGGTGCACGCACGGTTTAAGGCATGGTGGGCTCAGCCCCAGCGATTTTGCAGATTCAGCTATGAAGTCGTTGCACAGATGCTCCATGACTTAGTGGCTGGTACCCAGTGCGCCTTAAATAGCACGTGGAGTCGGGCAGTTGGTCTCCAGTGCCGTGTTGGTTCAGTGGCATTTTGGGAACGGGCTCCTTGTCTTGTATGTCAGCATAGCCATGAATGTGGTGTAGTCGAGTGTAACCAAGGTGTGTCGTGTCCAGAGTTTGAGCGGCAGGGGCTTTATTCAGATCATCACCTTTATCTTTTGATTATATATTCTGTAGGTCTGTCTACATCTATATGTATAGATACCTGTCTCTGTACATGGATATCTATGTATAGAGATATATATATAGATATGTGGACATACAGATCTATATACATTTTCTGGATGTAGATAGATCGACAGACAGATGGCCATAAATCTATATATCTAGATAGATATATCTACCTGCGCACATCTATATCTACGTGTGTCTCTATATAGATATATAGACAGACAGCTGTTGATGGCTAAGGCGTGTGTATCTATATCTCCTATCAAAACAGATTAGGTATATATAAGGTTTTATGATCTCTGTACCTATATTAGTCTGTATCTATCTTTTCCTGAGTATGTTTTGCCCTTCCTTCAGTTAGGAGCTGAAAATGCTGACAGCATCGGCGCAGTATTGAACAGTAAAGATGACCAGAGGGAAATTGCAGAAACAAGGGAAACCTGCAGGTCTGTACTGAAGGACTTCTAGTCTTTACGCTAATGAATTAAATACTTCCTTTGAAAGAGGAAAGGGAAGTAGATTGGACGAACTTCAGCCAACAAGCAGTTTTTGTCTTCTTGCTCAGTGGTTCTCAACTTTGTTACCCTCAAAGCAGCCCTTGGAAAATGCTAATAGCACCCCAGGATGCTTCAGCACCCTGGTTGATAATCACTGATGTGTTTCAACAAAAACAAACACAACCATATCTAAAAAGTAGAATGAAAATGATTGATACCATGTAATCATAGTTCTTGACTAAAAAATCCATTATTTTACTGAAGTTCCTTGTGATCTTTTTATGTTATTGCAAGTCTTTTAATTTTTGTTATGATTGCAAGAAAAAAACCCTTTAAAAATCTGTTTTGTAAGAATAAAGATTTAAAATGTTTCTTTGGCTAGCAGAAAGGCATCAGGAATTTTTCTTTAGTGGTTTAGTAGCTGAATTTCAACCTGAGTGTCTTTTGAGGCAGATCATAGAACCTTAAAAATAATACAAACCTTTATAATGAGCGGGCAAAATATGGCCTGCAGGCTGGATCCATCTGATTGGATCTGGCCCGTGACTGCTCCTGCAGTACTCCACATTGAGTCAAGCCCCACCCACTTTTGCTGGGGCAGCTTGTGCTGTGCTCCTGTCCAGGCCTCCTGGCCCAGGCCCAGACCAATGGGCATAGCTTCCCACAGTGCTGTTCCCAGTGCTGCTCTACTCCTCTTGTCTCCAGCTGGAGCCACTAGGCTGGAGTTTCCTGCCCACCTGAAGTGGCACAGTAGGGGTGGCAGCAGGAGGAGGAGGTGCCGCTGGAGGTGAGGGGAGCAGAGCAGCACCCAGCTGGCTGCAGCTGTACTGGAAACAGCCCTGCCAGAAGCTGCCTGCTAGCCGAGGCCAGCTTGGTGGGCGGGGTGGGGGGGGCCGCATGGGCTGCCGTGGGCAGGGCTCAGCCCCATGCGGAGCACTTTGAGGGCAACCACAGACCGCACCACCTGGGCGAGCTCTGCCGCATGTGCCCCACCTCTTCCCCCTCCTACCCCTCACTGCCATCTGGCTCCTGGGACCTAGTGTCCAGGCAGCCCCTCCCACATGCATACACACCCCCACCCAGGCAGGGAGTGCAGGAAGCCGATCATGGCTCCATCCTGGGCCTGAGCTGTCACTGCCCCATGACCCAGCCACGTGATCCCAGCCTTACCCGCCTGTCCTGCTCTTGAACACTGCTTCCCACCTCTCCAAAGTCCCGTGGAGATTTTTGGTAACTTGTTGTCTGGGGGGAGTGGGGTGGTGCTGCTGACCTGGCCTGTGACATCTCATCCAAATGCCCTATGTGGTCCTCAGGCCCAAATAATTGCCCACCCCTGCTTTATAATGTATGTGAGCACACAACAATTAATTATAACCCTCACCCCCCAAAATAACCCCCCCCCACAAAAATGGTATCTTGATCAGCTAAGTCTTAATGGGGCCAAATCATGAACATTATTATCTGTGAAGAAATTCTGTCAAGTGAGGTATTGTTGTAAGGCAAGAAGGTTTTAGCCATCTAGCCTCTAACTTAAAATACACTTATCTGCAGTAACTCCCTATGTAGGCACTTTTAGCATGTGGTATGTGCAAAGTAGCTTATTTTTTATGTTTTTGATGTTTATACAAGGGCAGAAGGTTATAACAGGGCAGAATGCTGTAAATTCATTCACCATGCAACTGTACAGGCAGACAAGCTGAATTTCAGTAGATAGTGAGAAACTCAGAATTTACATTGCTTTGACTGTATCTTGGTGATCCAGTCAGTTTAAAACAGCACAGAGTAATGTGATGTTTGAGGGTACGTTGATAGATACGGTTTCTTAAGCTGAAAAATGCAAAGTGATTTTAGAAATGTATAGATGAAAACCATCTGTTTAAATTCAGGCCACAAACCTGTACACAGTTAGTGCAGATCATTAGATTTTGAAATATGTCGTAACCAATTTGAAATAATGCAGCTCATTAGATATTGAAATATGTCCTAACCAGTTACTTTGTTTGGATCTTTCTTATATTTTTTAGGGCTTCTTATGATACCTCAGCACCAGGTTTAAAACGCAAATATCCAGATGAGGGGGAGGCTGACGAAGAAGAAATTGAAGATTATAAGGTAAAAAGACCGTAAATATTGTAGTCAGGAAAGCAGACTTTTAGACTAGGTGAAGACATTCAGGGGGGATAGAGGGAGGTTAGATCACTTTTTAAAATGGCTACCCAATTCAATTTAGTTCTCCCAGATGTGGACCCTTACACTTAGACCCAGTCTCAGTAATCGGAAATCGATCTTAAACCCGTAACAATACAGAAGTTCTGCGCACATAGACCAGTCTAAAAATGGCAGAACCTGGTCTAAGGGATCAATGTACGCTCGAATTTAATCAATCTAAGTTAGATCGGTAAATCAAACTTCAGTACAGTTACCTGTGCAGTGCCGGGGCTAGGAAAAACACCCCTGACCCCACCCACTATAGACTAAACAGCTCCCTTTCTCTCTCCCTCCCTCCCCTTGACCAAACCCCGCCATCCCACCAGCTGCTCTGGGTTCTGGTTTTATCAGCGTTCGAGATGCTGAGATCTGAGGAAGTAAGCATCAGTGGGCAGAGGGGCAGGAGGGATGTGGGAGTAGGTTTGCCAGAAGGTTTTGGGAGCTAAAAATAGCCCCTGCTCCCCCTTCCTCAAGCCATCTAGCAAGTCCCCCTGATCCTGCCAGACTCTCTTGGATCCCAGCAGCCCACAGATCCTGACTGTCCCTCTAATTGTTCCCACAGATCCTTTCTGCCCTCCCCAATCACTCCTGCCTCCTCAATCCCCCTGATTGCTCCTGTGGATTTTGCCTGCCCCCCAACCCTCCTGTGGATGCTACCTGCACCCCTGATCTGCCTGATCCCTACTGCAGATCCTGGTTGCCACCTGATACCCCCCACCCCAAGCCTGCTGTCCCCTCAGCCCCCTTATTAGCCTCCTCATCCTGATTTACCTTGGATTGGGTGGCCATTTTTAATGTGATCCAACCTTCCCCTAACCCCCCCCCACCTCCATCTCAAAACATCTGCACTTAGCCTTAAAGTGCTGAACTTTTATGCTAATATGGTAAAGGATTACTCAGGGGGAAATCCTACTTCATAAAAACTTTTGGATTATATTTCATGCTTTTGTGAGGTCACATATTGTGGCTGTTTAAAAATGTTGTTCATCATTAAGTATTTTCCTTGGCTCTTCTTTACAACTTTCACACAAACGGAAGAGAAGACTTTAGGCAATGATGGAACTTCTTTGGTTACAGCTAGAGCACATTGTTTTGGAAAATGTACAGTACATAGCAGTAGGAAAGGTTCATGTGTTCCAGAGAGCAGGGCATGACAAAAGCAGTTAGGAGGAGGAAGAGGGAAAGGACAGAGCTGGAACAACTAGTTTGAATGTGTTTGTAAGGGTAGAGATGATTATGACACTTCAGATAAGAAGTTGAACTTCATGGGCTGGAGAGAAGCAAAAAGGAAGATTCAGGGTGTGGGTATGAGGGGCCTTTGGTCAGATAAATTGTTCAGGAAGCAATTCCTGGCATTTGTTTTGTATGAAATTATTAGATTTGATGCCTGGCCCTTGCAGCACATGAGTTTTCAGTAATCATAGAATCACAGAAAATTAGGGTTGGAAAGGACCTTAGCGGGGCATCCCCAAATAGATCTTCCCCAACCAAGGCTTTGTGTAGCTAGGTCTTAAAAACCTCCAAGGATGGAGATTCCACCACCTGTCTGTGTAACCTATTTCAGTGTTTTACTGCCCTCTAGTGAGAGAGTTTTTCCTAATATCTAACTTTAAGCTTCCTTTGCTGCAAATTGAAACCATTGCTCCTTGTTCTTGTCTGCTGCCACTGAGAACAGTCTAGCTCCATCCTCTTTGGAACCCCCTTCAGGTAGTTGAAGGCTGCTATTAATTCCCCCCCTCAGTCTTCTCTTTTCCAGACTAAATAAGCCCAGTTCCCTCAGTCTCCCCTCAGGAGTAATGTGCCCGAGTCCCCTCACCATTTCTGTTGCCCTCTCCTGGACTCTCTCCAATTTGTCCACATCCTTTCTGTAGTAGGGGGGCCCAAACTGGACACAGTACTCCAGATGTGGCCTCACCAGTGCTGAATAGAGGAAATAATCATTTCCTTTGATCTGCTGGCAACACTCCTACCAATGTAGCTCAGTGTGTCTTTAGCCTTCTTGGCAGCAAGGGCTCTTCTTGGTAACGCTGTTGGCTCATATTCAGCTTATTGTCCACTTTAACCCCCCAGGACCTTTTCTGCAGGCTGCTGCTTAGCCTGTTGGTCCCCAGCCTGTACTGGTGCATGGGATTGTTCTGCCCCAAGCGCAGGACTTTGTACTTGTCCTTGCTGTACTGCAAGAGATTTCTTTTGGTCCAGTCCTCCAATTTGTGGAGGTCTCTCTGATCCTAACCATATCCTTCAGCATATCTACTACTCTCCCCATTTTGGTGTCATTTGCAAACTTGTTGAGGGTGCATTCTATGCTATTATCCAAGTCATTGATGAAGATATTGAACAAAATCAGCCCCAGGACCAACCCTGGATTTCCTGAATATGAGAAAATAGCTCCCTGGCTAAGAATTTGCAGTGCTGATTTATTTTTTTTAATAAATTTTATTTATTTTTTAATTTTAAAGTTCGATTTGAAAAGTGGCAGGTTAGGGGAGAAGGTAAAGGAATTGAAGGTGAACCCTAGATTTTATGATAAGGAGGATATTTGTATGTGCAACAGTGTCAAAATTGGAGGACATATTTTTAAGGAAAGAAATGAGGAGTATGCCTTTAGTCAGAATTTAAATTGACAGCAAAGGCTCCCTGTGTAGTCAGAGATGATAGTGCTACTCCTACAGAGGAAATGGGTGCTTATCAGTCTTTCATGTTGCCTCCTGCCACTGTTCCTAGCCTTCCATTATTAAAATCATATTGCTTAAGGGTAGGAGACACCACAACCCTCAACATGCCAGCGTGTGTACTCTACAGGGTATATTAATGTTATAGCAGTCAAAGAGAGAAAGGACAGCTCTGGGGTTTTTTTATGGAGTCCAAAATCATTTTGGGGTTTTTACAGTAAGAATCAAGTCCTGACTTCATTGAAATCAGTGAAAAAACTCCTACTGACTTCAGTGCAATCAGAAGTTCACCCTGCACTACTGTTTATAATAGAGATCTCTCTGTTTTAAATTCTTTTTATATATATATATCTATAATAAAAGCTGCGCTATCCGGCACCTTACAAACTGGCATGCTGTATTAACCGGCATGCTGGCTTGTAAGGGAAAAGCGAAACTGGGAGTGCCCACCGTGACACTTCTGGTTTTGCCGAGCCCCCACGGCCTGGGGCAAAGCAGCCTGCGCTGCTGAGTGCCCATGGCCCGGGGCATAGCAGCTTGTGTGGGGCCCCCCTCCCTGTCCCTCAGGGCCCGCAGGAAGGGCGGCGATGAGGCAGGAGGGGCAGCGGCCCAAACAGGCAAAGATACCTGTTCGGGCCTCTCAGTTAACCAGCATATTTTGTTATCTGGCACCCCCCATTCCCTATGGGTGCTGGGTAACAATGCTTTTAGTGTGTGTGTGTGTGTGTGTGCGCGCGCTCGCAGGCAATGGGGATGGGCTTGGTGTTCAGCTGGCAAGGCCCCATGCCCTATGAGCAATGCTGCTCGTGCCACTTGTGAGAGATGAGGACACACCAGCTGAGTATTGAGCCCAGCCCCGTCCCCTGTGAGCGGCGCCGGGCTCAGTGTTCTGTAGTGCTGCTCGCAGCAGACAGGGCTAGATTGGGTGCTCAGCTGGCCTAGCCCCATCCCCTGCTATTCTGACGCCGCTCGCAGGGTACAGGGACGGGGCTGGGCTTGGCCAGCTTGGCACTCAGCTGCTGCGGCTTCATTGCCTGCAGGCAGCAGTGGGAATGCCGTTCGCAGGGGATGGGCCACACCAGCTAAGCACTGAACCCATCCCCATCCCTGATTTTTTTTTTTTTTTTTTTTTTTTTTTTTTTTTTTTTTTTTGGCACGGTTATAAAAACAATTGGCACGGTATATAAATCAAGTTTGATTTTTAAGACACCAAAATTGGGCTTCAAAACTCGACTTATACGCCATGAGATACAATAATTGTATTTTTTCCTCAATGTTAAAAAATTGTGAAATGGAGGTGAGATGGTCCTTTCTTAATGAAATCACTGGGTATTATCTGTTTTATAACACTGTTGTACTCCCCTCCATCTGAATATTGTAGTGCACTTTACAGTTAATTCACTTTCTGATGGCGAAGTAGATATAATCTTCATTGAAAAATAAGAAAAATGAAGCATGGGAGATTCCTGCTTAAGATCATAGAAAATCCTGTGATAAAACATGAAAGAAAACTTTGTGCTTATTAATACCAGTCTTTTGTTTCAAGCAGAAGACTAAGTTTCTTCCCCTATGGTATTTTCAAAGACTGGAGCCGTAGAATAAATAATATTTTAATACTTAGATTAATTCTAATAAGTGTAAACATATTAAAGATTGGTGATGAAATTGGAACCAAAATAAAACTGCCTCTTCCATAATCCGACTCCCTGTAGCCCATTATTATGTCTATTATAGTGGAACCTGATCATGAGTAGACCTTCATTTTCTTTAGTAAATTGTAAAGTTGTAAAACAAATGCCCTTGCTTAGAGAGGTGCTTGCAGTCTAAGGTCTGGACTGTATGACTAGATTCATATGGGGCGATCAGCTAGTGACTTGGAGCCTAACTATTGCACACCGCAGATGAGAGAAGGAGGAAGAACTTTTTGGAGGAGAAAAAATATTCCGGATCAAATATGTAACCATGATTAACTGTTAATATGATGGTCCTTTGCCTTCCCTGAAACATAAACTCTTTCTCATTGTATGTCTTAAATATATTTATATGTTATAAGATAAACTAATATTGATTTAACTGTCATCTATTTGTTTCCATTGTATTTTATTTTTATTTGGTTTATATATTTATTGCTGGTGACATGAACTTGTGTTAACAAGTGATACATTAAAGGAAATGTAGTACATTTCGGACTTACGACACAATTGGTTCTTGAAAACCGCGTCTTAAGTCAAA